TTCGGTCGAGTGAGTGAAGCCGTACAAACCGGACCGGCTCGGATCGGCCCCCTTTTGCTTCTGCTGTGGCGCGGGCGGGACGGGAGTCGCGCCTGCCTGGCAACTCGCGCAGAAAACGATGGCGGTGCTGATTCAACCAATCAATTTGACCACAAAGTCGGATTGTCTCCCAAAAGTGAGTGACGCCTGACACTAAAACACTCTTCACTTGCATGAATGACTGATATTATGGATGTCGTTCATCTGTTCGTGATCCAATCCCACATTCTGTCAACACGTCAACCTTTTTTTTTTTTTTTTTTCAAAATTTGCAATGCCGCTCTAAAAGAGTTTATCGAGCGTGAGTGATCCAACCGCCGCGATAAAGGTTGTACACACACACACATGCAAGGAGGCCCATTAAGCAGCAGTATAGAGAAGAGGGAAAACTAATTTCCCAGTACACTCGTTCCGTCCGCCCGACTCCCATTCATCCAGACAGAGCCTCGTAAAGACGGGAATGACTTCATTAGCGCGGCCAAGCCTGCCGTGGGCCGTCTCTATACGCACTGCGAAAATTGTTGTCGCCACACTTTACAGACAATACGTGTTCTATTATTGGTAGCTACTTTCGCAATTCACGTCACATTTCACAAAAAATTATTTACAGTACATTTGGATGTAAATAAACTATATGTCAGATGAATATTTATTAAAAATATGTGCGACAAATTTCATCACTAGTAAAAGTACGTGACATTATTAAATTGATGTATAATTAATACATCACAACACTTTTCATTTCTTTAGACATATAGGAAAATTTTTTTTGTGCTGCACGGTAAAAGCGACTGCTGTGAAATTTTGCCAAACCTTCTCGAAAACCATCGACCCACTTTCTGCCGGTAACTTTCGAAGCAGCAGTCGCTTTGTGCCATCAGTGCATCAGGATACTGCACCGGGACGCATTAGACTCATTTTATACGGCCTCTTCCTTATCTCGCATACTCCCCCCTTCTGTTCCCCTTCCCCTGACGTAAGGTCGATAAGTTTGACCAGCGCGTCGATAAAGAACACGAGTCTCGACACCCCGTACCCCATATGTCTCCTCGGAGATAATCCCCACAGTCGGCGGGGCCGCTTGGCGCAGCCGTTTACTGGTGCAGGCTGAGGCTGCGAGGACCAGTGGACCAGCCCATCTAGAGGCGTGCAAGTCTCTCTGCCTCAAAGTCAAAACAAGCACAATGTGTCCCCCTCCCCCTGCCTTTTTTCTCGCAAAAGATAAAAATAAAACGAGACTGGTCCAAGCGAACCATTTTTGTTTCGTTTTGTCTTCATTATAATTTTTTGTTCATACAACATCCCACCGCACAGGTCCGCCTCCGCTTCTGCCCAATGACCCCCCCCCCCCTTTCTTCATCCTCTTCCCCTCACCGTGCCCCCACCGCCACCCCTTCCCCACCCCCTCTGTGCAATACGCACGACAACCCGCATTTTTCTGCGCGCGCACCGATTTTAACGTTCCCGAACACCTCGACCCCTCGGCGAGGCCGACGCCGACGGGTGGGAAGAGAGCGGGAGGGGGGGGGGGGGGGCAAGGAAAATCCTTGCGCCCAGGGCCCGCCCGCCCGTCGACTTGCACGGAAAGCCTCAACACGAAGCGAATAAAAAGGTCGACCTTACGACGCGTCGTCCGACAAGGCTCACGTCAGTATGCGACAGGCACAGACGCACAGAGGTGCGCGTTTAAGACTCGCGACCCGCGGGTACACACACATTTCCATAGAAAACCAAACAAAAGGAATAGGGCGGAATACGATCACTGTTGAAAGAGTTGGGCGAAACGAAACATCCCACGAAAAATGTCCCACACGACAAAGCTTTCCTATTCTTTGGCAAAAAGTAGAGACACGTCATATTTTTGTATTCTAAACACAACTCAGCAGTGTGTATTGCACACGGAAATATAGTGAGCCTCAGAAATGGTGAAAGTTTCTCTTTTCTGTCTTATCGATAAGAAGTTTCATTTTCGAATCGGGCCTTGTAATCTCCTCACCGCAATCTTACGGGAAAGATAGAACCACAAGAACATCCGGTAACTGCACTGGAAACTTAATTAATTGAAAACAGGCTTTCAGTAGACAATAAACTCGTTATTGTTTGATTGTTACATTTTAATTAAATGCTGTGGAGCGTTTTTGATTTTAAAAAAATGATTTAATTTTCGAACAATAAAGCCGGCGAGGATTTTGCACATGATGAGGATGATGACACTATGGGTTTGTCATACGATCAACGTGTACAATTTAATAAAACTTTCTTTTAATTTTAAAGAAAAAGTATAAAACTGAGGATGTGTAATGATTTTTTATGGAATTAACAGTCGATATGCCAACCTTTCGTTTCAGACACTCCCCGAGACAGTCTCTACTGACAGAAAAAGCCCCCCCCCCCCCTCCTCCTCCTCCTTGCTCTTTCCACTCTAAGAACAGGGCCAGAGGGGCGCTTGGGCAGGCCACACGCTGTTTTTCCATTCGCAGCTATTACAAAATGTATCTCCGCCGGGTTTGTTTTTATTCTTTTCAATTTAAACTCCGTAGTGTAAATAATTAGCTATCTTCAAATTAGTGTTGTGTGTCGTATCCGCAACAACTCGTCAGTCCTCGGCGAGTATAAATCACGTATCAATACTTATTAGCACGTGCCAGGACGGAGGTTGCACAACCGGAGATGTGCGCTGAGCGTCTGTTGTGGAGAAATCAAAAGGTCGCGCCAAAAGCAAAGGCGATCCAAAGGCGAGACCAAAGCCGGTGCCCCCCGGGGGGAGGAGGGGCTGGGTAGGTAGGGGGGAAGGGGATCTGGCGGGGAAAGGGGGGGAGGGGGGGAGGGCGAGAACTCGCTGCGAATAACAATCAGTCCGTCTCTCTCCCTCCCGAAGGACGAGCGGAGCTCTGCTAGGGGGTCACAAGGCCGCAAGGCTCCCTGCATCGCTAGATAAGGCTGGATCGGCTACAGCAGACTGACTCGTCTTCACGATCGCGCCGCCGGGCCAGCCTTTACGCCAGCCTGCCAGCGGCGGCC